GACGTCACACGTTGTGCTGAATCAGCAATTTATATTTTGCACATTTTTGCGTATAACTTCGGAACCAGATGAGATAGAATAAAGCAGTAAACGGCCAAACGGCTTATTTTTTCATGCTCTTTCAGATAGAGCAATAAAAAATTTTATTGCCAATGTCCTTTAAAGTTTATTTCGAAGATGACTGAAAAAGTGGTTTCCTTACGTCTATTGCATTATCTTCGAAGCAATGGCCTCGAAGAACTATATCAATCTGCTTACAAGCAATTTCATAGTTGTGAAACAGCACTTATTCGTGTACAGAACGACATTTTACGTGAGATACATGGAAAGTCGGGTGTCATACTACTACTATTGGATCTATCAGCTGCGTTCGATACGGTGGATCATACGATCTTGCTCCAAAGAATGTACTCTAAATTTGGCATCAAGGGTGATGCATTAAACTGGTTCAGGTCCTACCTATCTGATCGTTCCCAGACTGTTTATGTTAATGGCGCTACTTACACGCCCATTGTGGAAACCAGCTTCTGCTGACAATGTTAGCGTGGTTAAATAAAGTTTATCATCATCATCATCATCAACTTCAGACAGCTATGATGTGTTTTGTGATGTTCCCCAAGGATTAGTCCTAGGTCCTATCCTATATCTGATATACACTTCACCGATAGGAGACATTTTACGATCTCATAGCATGAAATTTCATCTATATGCCGATGACACTCAAATCTATGTCTCGTTCAATTATAAAGATCAGAATGACCTTAAGCAAGTTAAGTCGTGCGTAGAAGCCTGCCTCGTAGATATTATGAACTGAATGTCAGAGAATAAATTAAAACTTAACACTGATAAGACGGAACTTCTTATTTTGAGTTCCAAATTCCGGGCAGAGGCTATATTCCCTGTGTTGACTGCGGGCTCCGATATAATTACTCCAACACCCCACGCTCGGAATAATATATATGTAATATATGTAAGTCAGCATTTTAACACCTACGGAACATTGCTCGTGTTAGAAGATACCTGTCGATGCATACTACTGAACAGCTTATTCATGCTTTTGTGACTATTAAACTAGACAATGCGAATGCATTGTTGTACGGTCTTCCTAAGGATCAGATTGGAAAGTTACAGCGTGTTCTAAACTCTGCAGCACGACTGTTAACTGGATCCCACAAGTATAATCATATTACACCTATTTTAATACAGCTACACTGGCTACCAGTCGAGCAACGGATTATATATAAGATTATTTTATTGACATTTAAAGCGTTAAATGGACTTGCTCCGCAATACATTGCAGAGATGATCAGCCATTATGAACCTTCTAGGTGTCTTAGATCCTCTAAAGCTAATTTACTTAATGAACCAAGATTTAATGTAAATAGCTACGGTGGTAGAGCTTTTTACGCAAGTAGTCCTAGGTTATGGAATAAATTACCTGTCTCTATTAGAGCATGTACAGATATTTCTGAATTTAAGAGTAAGCTTAAGACCCACATGTTTAAAATACAGGTAGCCTATGATTTATAGATGTATATAAGTTTATAAGTATATATAAGTAATAATTAGGAAATTTGTTATATTTTATTGTAAATTTCTAGATTAATGAATGTAAAGCGCTTAGATCTATGTGTTATAAGCGCTATATAAACTTGTGATAATAATAATCTACAGTCCGATCTGCGCATGTGCACAAATGAGCCCACTTTTTATGATACAAACAGTTTAACTATGTTTTGAGTTCTTGAAAAGCCTGATTGTTGTTTCTTGATCATTTATTATACTCTAGAAGCTTGAAAATATAAATAGTTGTCGAATAAAGCTCAATATTTTGGACACAAAAATGTAAACAAAGGCTTTGTTTACATACGGACTGTAGATCACCTTTAAACTCCCTAATGGCTCGATTTACTTCTGGTCGGCGTTCATCAATCAAAATGTTGCTTGCTTAACCAGCGTGGTCTTTTCATTTTTATGATGTATGTCATACAAGTGCACTTTTATGTACGATGTATATCATCATACAAACACATTGATAACCTAACCTGACCGCCACCCCGCCATATGGCATAGATAATATACATAATGGCATACATAATGAATAGATAACAGTATGCACATATGTCAACGTGGAAAAAACCGCTTGGCGAATTTTTTCGATAACCAATCGCATTTGTTGTTCGAGATTTGTTGTTCGCAATTCGTTCCTGGAATTGCGACACAATTAATTTCTGGCTTCATTTTCAAGAAACTGATCCGTGCCCGATCTAGTCTTATGTCAAAATATGTCAGTTTGTAGACACACGGTAATAACTATGCATATCCTAATAGTGAATATGATTATCGCCCAGCATTGCATTAGCTTCGTGACTAATTATAATTTATGTATGATTAAAATCGACAATTTGTGTGATAAACGTTTGCTTTGTATCATACCCTAATCTTTTAATTGGTTTGTATGCGTCAGCCTTGTTTCTTAATCACGTAAGAATATTTTCTTAAAATATATGTTCGTGTTGAAACAAACATTATTTCAGTCATGCCAAAGCCATAAACGTGCTTACGTCAAGGATCAGGAAAATTATTAAGCCAACTACAAAGAAAAAAAAAATTGTGCGATATAATTTATATGTGCATAATTTGTCGTTGTAAATATCTTGACATATCTATGAAAGCTGAAGAAAAAGTGACTGAAGCATTTAATTTACTCAACGAAGAATATTAATTCTCTCGATTTTAATACTGGTGTAAACATAGTTGGTCCTCAATATTCCAGAACTCAAACCAGCAAACAGCTTTAATTGTTTTGTATAACATGGTGCGCAAAATTTCAAGAACAAAAAACTGGAGTTGGAGCATCATTTAATGGCGTAACAAAATTATTTCATAATATATTCCCATTCTGTTGTCAGGGCAGAATCCGAGATTTAATTCGAAACAAACAATGAACACGAGTGTTTGTATAGGAGCTTTGAATAAAACTGCAGTGCCGTCCACACCAAGATCAACCCAGCAGTATTTCTATGATATAGAGATTTTATTTATTGGACTAACAACTGGCATCCTTGCTTTCGTTGGATTTCTCGAGAACCTCTTTGTTATTATTTTTATAATATTTACCAAAGGCCAAATTTTCCTTCTTGTTCCTTCAAACATATTCTTACTAAGCTTGGCTAGTGCCGAGTTTCTACTCTGTGGAGTAGTTCTACCTTTATTTATTCTTCAGCTAGTACATAATGAATTTTACTTGTGTTTTATAAATACTGGAAAGTTTATTGCCTTAGCAACAGTTGGCAGCCTATTACTGTTAACATTAAACAAGTTTATGTCAGTAAAATGGCATCTAAATTATATGGCTAAGATGACTGTACGACGGGCGTTCTTTATGGTTATTGTAGTTTGGACAACAGCGAGTGCTCTACTACTTTTTGTCTTTATCAGTTATATAACAGGAGTCGTTTGGTTACGACAATTGCTGCGATATTTTCTTGTCATCTTTTTCCTGCTTCTCTTTGCCCAAAATGGCTACCTCCTCAGGAAGTCAAGACAACACAGACATCAAATTAAGAGTCAAATGAAGGCGATCACAGGAAAGTCACTTGTCATGCGAGAGGACTTCCATAGGTTGAAAACAGTGTTTTTTACAACTTGTACGTTTGGTCTAGGTTGGTTGCCAGTGTCATTAATTGCACTATGCGTTGACAAAGAAACACATCCTAAATATTTTCATCGTCTCTTGTCCTACTCAGTACCTTTTGTTGCCGCAGAAGCTGTAATAGATCCAATAATATATTTTTATCGCGTTGGCGTAGGTCAAAGATGTTGGTACGGACTTAAAAAAAGACTCTTCAGGCCTGTTGACTTTGTTTCTAGAACTACCATAATTCCATTCGTTGTTTCTCGTCGAGTACACAATTTATAATATGTGCTTGTAAATATAGTTAGGTGGGATAGTGTTAATATCGTAACTATTAGTTATATAAAATATTGGTTGAAGGTGCCAAAGCTTTTTGCATGGCCTTAACTTGTGCAGACTAAATGTAGGATTATTCAACTAAATTTAAGTGGAAATAAAATAGAAAACGATAGATAGATAGTTTAATTAATTAATTAATTAATTAATTAATTAATTAATTAATTAATTAATTAATTAATTAATTAATTAATTAATTAATTAATTAATTAATTTTAATTAATTAATTAATTAATTAATTAATTAATTAATTAATTAATTGATTAATTAATTAATTAATAGCTTTGTTTCGTTTAGCTTTTCCGTGTCTGCCACGCTTGCCTAGCGAGCTTAAGATGCATCAAATCTACGACGCGGACGTGAAGAAAACTGTGACTATTCCCACAGTTTCACTACACGGATAAAAATTATGGCCTCCAGTTGGTAAACAAAGTCAGAGACACAACTGAAGCAAAATAAAACTGGATTCCAAACATTAGCAACGGTTTTTATGTCACGTCCGCGTCGTAGATTTGGTGCATCTTAAGCTCGAATGTAAATTCGTAAAATCGCGCGGGAAATACAAGTCACGTGATCAAGGAGGTGGAATTCCGATTCGTCCCGGTCGTGTTCGATTTTGGTTTCGGATTGTTCCGGTCGTTCCGGTGGTTTCGTTCCGATTGTTTCGGGTTTTAGTACATGCCGTGGAAAATGGGACAAGCATATTCCATCACAGGACGCACATAGGTCAGGTAAAGTGTCAGTAAATCCTTTGTACAGATTTTTGTTCTTTTTAGTTGAGAAAGGAAGAAGAGTCTTGTTGAAACTTTCTTCACAATCTCTGAGATGTGGGTATCCCATTTAAGATCGTTCGTAATTCGCATGCCCAATATCTTTGCAAAGGGACAACTTCGATTGGCCTATTATTAACATACACGGGTGTAAACGTACGCCCAGGTCTTGCAAAGGTAATTTGAAGCTCTTTGCATTTCTCTTCGTTTAACTGAAATTTATTTGCAGTTGATTTCCTTGTAAACTCGTCTACCGACGATTGGATGCTACTGGCTTCATGTTTAAGGACAGTCCCGGAGATTGTAGTATCGTCCATAAATCTATATCTGCTACTTCTAGGTTATTTATCATTATAGCAAAAAGCCAAGGACCCAATTTAGTCCCTTGGGCAAGCCTGCCAGAGTTGCAAAACCTGTTCAAATTTCCTCCGGGTAAAATTTAAAGTTTTCAAACCTTCCTCAAAATAAATTAAATAGATATGGTTTCATCAAATAGCAATATACTAGAGTATATAAACTTAACTGATTTTGAAAGCATAACACACAGTACATGATTCTAATATATAAATTTGCCATAATGCCTGCATAATAGATTTATACTTTGGACAAATTGGATAGTCGTTACCTACTATGTCTACATCCTATATCATAAATTGAATATAAAATAATATTAAAAAATTATATTAC